GAGGAGCCTTTATCATCCTGTAATGATTTGATTAGTTCTATAATATGCAGTGTGTATTTAATGTGCATAAAGATGGAGACAACTGTTTGGAGAAAACTAGAGACAACTAGATAAACAGTAAAGATCTTCAGTGGACTTGCTTTAAAATCTATATTTCTTTAAATCTTTTTTAAAAACTGTTTTGTTCTGTTTGGTCTGCCCTCTTTGAGATAAAAAACAAGTGTGTAGGACTGATAACCATGTTACTAAGTTTTTGTTGGATCGTTGAGCGGAGCTGTTGGCAGTGTCACTATTTGAATGTCACTTTGCATGCTTTGGTTTTGTGACCTGAGCGACTATTTCTAAGATGACAATATGTAACTTATTAACTGTTGATTTCTTACCATTTATTTTTCTGTAATTCTGTATTAAGATCACTAGAAAACAAGCCAGACAGATAGTAAAAAATTGCCTTTCTTGTGCCATGTACCTTCCAGTTCCACACTTTGAGGTTAATCCTGGAGGACTTATCCCCAATGCATTATGGCAAATAGATGTCACCCACATTCCTGAGTTTGGCAATCTTAAATATGTTCGTATAACTATAGATATCTTTAGTGGTTTCATTTATACCTCTCCCCAGGCTATGCTAGTTCTGCCTTTGCTCATTTCTGTCAACATCTTAAAATTGATCATATAAAAGGCATACCTTATAACCCTCAAGGTCAAGGATTAGTTAAAAGGGCACATCTCTCCCTAAAACTCGCTGTTGGTAAAATAAAGAAGGGGGAATGGTACTCCACAAGAAGGACACCTAAAAATATTCTATCTCATGCCTTATTCATCCTTAATTTTTTAAATTTGGATGCTTCTGGACAGTCAGCAGCCATGCGTTTTTGGCATTCTGAAACACAAAAGCAATTTGCTTCTATACTATGGAGAGACCCCCTGACTAATTCATGGCATGGCCCTGACCCCGTTCTCATATGGAGACGCAACTCAGTGTGTGTTTACTCTCAAGACAGAGAGGCTAGATGGCTACCTGAGCGCCTTGTAAAACAAGTAGACAGTTCTTCAAAGACCCCATGCGATGCCGAGGAATAATATCATTTCCTGAGGCACAACCCCCTGTGCTCTTTTACAGATGACACAACTCCTTGGAGCCTTATGCTGCCTACTCAGCCTTCTCCTCAGACCGTACCACACCCATGGTGGATTTAGACCCCTGCCAAACAGACTACAACTGTTGACAGCCATGCACAGAACCCCCTGTGACTGCAGAAGAGGCTCTTTTCAGTCTAGAGGAACACAAACCAGCCAAATAGATTGCAGAAAAATGTTGCTTCTATGTCAATCAGTCCGGTGTTATGCGAGGCAAGCTCCAAGAAATAAAAAAATGGCTTCAACAGCGACGACAACAAATGGCTGCTAACCCCCTCTTCTCGATGTAGGGGGGACTTTTCCCTTACCTAGCACCCCTTTTGGGTCCCTTAGCTGCCCTGTTGCTTCTCCTTTCTGTAGATCCTTATATTTGTCAGAGGATTATGATGCTCATTAATAACCAGATTGACGTGTTTATGACAAAGCCCATTCAGGTACACTATCACCAGTGGGAGATGGCACATCAACAAACCTACCGGGAAACAATTCCCACAGTGGCCCGTATGACAATGCGGCCTAACTGCCCTGGGGCAATGGACAGGCAGCCAGAGACAGGCAACTAGGACATGCATGATTACACCACTGGCCGCCTAAGACAGGTACAGGACCAACTGCTGTCCTGCAAGCCCATGACGGGTAAGGCCTGGTTGGGTTCATGTAATGAGGTTCCTTGACCTAAGACAGGCTCTGTCCTCACAGGGCCTGCCATACTCCTGATTAAATAATATAAAAAGGGAAGAGGTGTAGGGAGCGGCACGACCGCCCCATTGCTGCCTCGCCGCCTCTCTCCTATGGGCATATGATGCAGCTGCCTACATTAACCATAATCCTCTCCTGCTTACGTCACATATCCGGATGTGGCGATGACCCTGTTGTATTCATCCCTGTAGCCTCTTCCTGTCCCACCAGCCCACCCTTGGCCTATAAAAGATGTTATCACTTCCTGAATAAATGAGACTTGATTGGACTCCTCATCTTGTCTCAGTCTCTCTTTGTCTCCCCCCTGTCTCTATTTCATCCCTGTTCCCCCTCCAGTTAACCCCACGGATTGATCCGTGGGCCAGATCAGTCCACAATGGCTTCAAGAAAAATGAAATACCTAGGAATTAATATAACCAAGGATGTGAAAAACTTTTACAAATAAAAGTACATTACTCTACAAAAGGGTATTGAAGAGGACATCAGAAAAAGGAAAGATGTCCCCTGCTGCTGGATAGGCAGAATCAATATTGTCAATACGGCCATAGTCCCCAAAACTGTTATACAGATTCAATGCAGTCCCAATCAAAATATTCACAGCATACTTTATCAATCTTAAAAAAAAATTCTAAAATTCATACAGGATCAGAAGAGACCCCGAATACAAAAGTCAATTTGGGTCAATAAGAGCAAGACCAGAGGATAGCAATACCTGAATTCAAACTATATTTTATCACGACAAAGCAGTAGTGATAAAAATTGTGTGGTACTGAAACAAAAATATACATAGATTGATGGAACAGAATTGGAGAAGTAGAAACTTCTCCTAACACATTGAACTATTTGATCTTCAACAAAGGGACTAAAAGCATATGTTGCTGTTAAGTACAGTGGCTCACTGGGGACAACACAGGTGTGGTGAGAGCCACATAAGATGTGAGACAGATGATAGCTGAAATGCAGAAAAGAGCTCAACAGACCAAGGAGTCAAGAATGGCTTCTCATAGGAGATGTTGTGTGGGGCAGTAGGTCTATTAGACTTAGCAACAGAGAAGTCATTGAAAGAGATCAGAGCTCCAACCAATGTGAAATCTACATTTCCTACTATTATGGATAAAGGTATAGGAGGTCTGAGGGAACATACAATTTCCAAGTCGAAGGTCTTGAGCTGTGGTAGAGCAGTCTCAGCTTTCAGTGAATCTCCATGGGGTGCTCTGAACTATCAAACACTGACTGACTCCTGGCTATCACCAGTGCACCTGCTGATATAACAAAGCTATTTATTGCTTGTTTCAGTAAGGGTGAGCACCACCTGGAAAAGCTGTAACAGTACCTCAGGGAGAACTGGAGAGACAGAAGTGTGAGATAACTTTGAAGTAAGATGTGAGGGAGTCTTTCAGTGTTGGGCTTTGATTGGGATTAGCCAAAAATCTTAATGGTAACAGTATAGCAATGGTGGTGTAAGGAAAATTAAAATTTTAGATAAAAGCCTGCCAAGAAAGCCTGCCAAGTATGCCCACCAAGACTAGGAGGACACATAACAGAACCTTCCTTCCTTTGTGTAACCAATGCTTGTTTAACTGATGGCTTGCAAATAACTTGAGATGCTAAAACTCCCTCCACAACCCATGTTGTCAACCAACCTTCCAGTCATAATGTGCTAAATCTGTCTGTACCTCCTGTTTGGTCTCCCTATAGGGAGACCCAAAACCTTACCACATGGGCCTGACTCTTTGGGTGACATCTCAGTCAAGCCCACCAGTGTAATAAACTGCCTCCTAAACCTCCTTGGTGCATTTCTTCCCATGTTTGGTCTGTTTTCTGTTAACAGTGGAATCAGCAAAGGGAGGATTTTTAAAAAAATATTTAAACTATACAGCATGGTTTTTTGCTTTTTAAATTAGTACAAGTTGTAATGCGTAATAATTGTATAAGGGAGGATTTTAAGAGGAGGCATTCCAAGAATTTTAGGGTGCAAGCCTTTGGTGCCTTTCACTGAAGAGTTGATAGGTTTTGAGGGAAAATCCTATTATGAAAAACTTCTGGCCTTCAGAGTCCCAAAAAGGCAATGCAAACATGGATTAGTAAAGTCCTGCTTATGTAGATACTGAGGTTGTGGTTTTGTTTCTCCCTGTCCAGGCTCAGTGTGGGGAGAGAGGGCTGTGATTCTTGTATACATACACTTTTTATGAGTAATTTATTGAAGTATACACTTAGCTTATAATGTCAAAATCCTCTCATTTACCTGAATCATGAGGAAAAAAGACACCTACTCTAATTTGTAAGCCCTAAGAAACAAATTAAATAACTGACTAGTTTGCTAAAATCCTTTAGGTGGATTATTTGATTTATTCCTCACAAACACCCTGTCAAGTAGGCACTATTAATATCACTAAATTAGGAGACGGAAGCTCAGATAACTAATTATTAGCTCACAGTATTTTGGCTACAAATATATGTTTTAAGGAACACCAGCAAAAAAAACTCCTTAAACTTTCTTGTTTTGTTTGCATAAGGGAGCTGTGACCCACCTTCGAAATAATCTGGCCTTTCAGTCACTCTGGGGGTCCTCTTTTCTCTGGGTAGAAAGAAGAAAAGGGTGGAAACCTAAGGCCTCCACCCTCTGTGGTTCGGACTGGCGCCATCCACGCAGGAATTTCTACCAGAGATACAGGAGCTTGTGGACTCTGCCTAGGTTTGGGCGGGTCGGCTCCAGTCGGCTCGGGTAGACTCGGGTCAGCTCGGTTTGACTCGGGTGGGCTCGGCTCAATTCGGGCGAGCTCGGCTCTACTCGGGTGGACTCGGGTAGGCTCAGCTAAACTCGGGAAATCTCGGTTAAACTCGGATGGGCTCGGCTCGAATCGGGTCGGCTCAGATCAACTCGGGTCTGCTAGGCTCGACTCTGTAATATATAAGGAGCTCACCAGTAATGGTAGCACATGCTTATAATCCCAACACTCAGGAGGCTGAGGCAGGAGGATTACAAGTTCAAGGCCTGCTTGAACTACATAGCAGCAGCCTATCTCAAAATACTAAAACCAACCAAACAAAAAATATATGTTCTGACTAGGGCTCGACTAGGGGCTCAAGTAGTGCCTACTGTACCGGTGCTTCCAGAGTCTGACCACAAGGGGGCAGTACGACACAGTGGCATATTCCACGAGGGGCGGCAGCCTACTGGATGTCTACGCAGGCAGGGTCGTGGGTCAGGCCTGCGACCAGAGCCTGGGGACCCCAGGCCGCTGCGAGGAGGAAGCGCCGAGGCGCCTGCCCATTCCTGTTCGGGCCGCTTTCCTTCCTCCACTGCCGGCCCTTGTAGCTCCGCAGGGACTGGAGGGTGAGGCCGGCGCCGCTAAAGCGACTGAAATCTGAGCTGAGCCGTGTGAGTTTTCTGGGCACCAGGAGGCCCCGGGAGGGGACGCCTCACCACGGCGCTGCGGCAGGTTTTGTCCTCCCCGCAATACAAGGCAGGAGGGCCTTCGTCCCAGCCTTTCTTGTCCGGCGGACCGGTGTCCTGCGGAGCGGGCACGGGCTTTGCTTAGCTGCTTGACATCCTTGCCCAATAAGCATTAAGTGCCCAATAAGCCCCCACTTTAAATCAGTCATTCAGTTGGTCAGCAGTTTCACGGATGTGCCATAATAGGAAAATTCCACTGGCTCTGAACAGGGTTCGAAGAGGTGACTTTGATATCTGACTGCAGTTCTTGCTTGGCATAGGGGCTTTAGGCACACAAAATGGCAGAGAGGCGAGGGAGCAGACCGCAGGCCGAGCGCGCACATGGAAAGTTTGTGGATCTCAAGACATCTTTGAGTTTCATAGAGAGATGTTACCTTCCATGTTTCTAGCAGCACAACCCCAAGCCTCACCCAACAAAAGTGTCTTAGAAACTTCGTTCGCTAAAGTTCTTAACAGGGTTAGTTTCTCTGGTGTGTGTGTGTGAGTTAGAGACAAACTGAATAATGTAATAGATCGCCGGGGCATGGTGGTGCACGTCTGGAATCCCAGCACTCAGGAGGCTGAGGCAGGAGGATTGCTGTGAGTTTGAGACCAGGCTGAACTGCATAGTGAAACGCTGTAGCAAAAAAAAAAAAAAAAAAAAAAAAAAAACCCAAACCAAACCAAACAACAACAAAAGAAAACAAGCCAAAACAAAAATAGTGATAGAGGGATTTTTTTTAGCTTTATGCTTTCTTTGCATACCTTAAAATCTTAATGCTTAAAATTTAAGCATATTTTAATACATTTATAGAGCTATGTAACCATAACTCCAATCCAGTTTTAGAACATTTCTGACATTCCCAACCCTAGATTCTCTTAAGCCTATTTACAGTTAATTGCTCTTCTCATCTTTTTCCTTGAGTACCTGCTTAGCTGCCTCCTTCCCTATTTATTGCTTTTCCTGGACATTGTTTAAGAAACAAATGCATCAAGCATATGCCTGGCTTATATCATGACACAGTTTTCGAGATTCACCCATTATCAGTACCCCAGTCATTTTGTGAGCTGAATAGTATGACATTATATGGATATACTGAATTTGTTATTCCATTCATCAATTGAATTTTTTCTATTTTTGGTTATGAATGATCCTACTGTGAACATTCTGTACAGGTTTTTGAGTGAACATGTTTTTAGTTCTCTACGTAAGGGTAGAATTGCTAGATCAAATGATAACTGTATATTTAACATTTTTTGAGACAAGGTCTCACTATGCAGTTCAAGTTGACTTTGAACTTGCTCATGTAGCCTAGGTTGGCCTTGAACTCATGGTGATTGTCCTGCCTCAGCTTCCCAAGTGCTGGAATTATAGCTGTGTGCCACCACACCCAGCTATATTTACCTTTTTAAAGAGCTTTCAAACTTTTTACAAAGGGGCTGAACTGTGTGAGGTTTTTAATTTCTTTTTGTCCTCACCAACAGATTTTTATACTGTGTGTGTGTGGGGGGGGGGGAATCTGGGATTTAACACAAGGTCTTCTCCCTGAACTACATCAACCCCTTCACCATGAATTTTATTTTTATGTGAGACATGACTAAGGCACAAAGTTACCGATGCGGGGTTCAAACTTGTGATCCTCCTGGTTCAGCTAACTCCGAGTGCTGGGATTATAGGCATGCAACACCATGCCTGGGTTTTGTCTGTATTTTTGATTGGCGTTTTATTGTGATATTAATTTGCCTAGAGTTTGATTTTTGGTCCTATTTGATTTATGTAGTTTCACTCACTTTGAAAGAGTGCTTTTTGAATGTTATGGAAATTAGTATTGAAATGAATAGCAGATGGTTCCTCCTTAGAGAGCACAGAGAAACAGATCCTTATGGTTGAGCAGATAAGGTAAGTGCTCTGATGGGGTGTAGCCAGTGGACGAGGAGCAGAGCAGGGGGAGTAGGGGAGCAGGGCAGAGCCAGCTGGGGAGTGGGGAATGGGGAAAGTATCAGAGAAGCCTTTTCTAGAAAGTCTCCATGTGCCCTTTTTATTTCATTTTATCAGAATTATCTTTGCCCATAGTTTTAAAAGTCAAATATGCAAGATTTGCTTTTAAGTTAAAGGAATCTCTTTTTTCCTCCCCATTCCTTGTACCTGCTAAGCAACTACTTTCTATTTTTTGAACTCTTTGGATATTTACTTTTATATCTGTAGTGTATTTTTGAGAGAGAAAAGCTCAGTCCTGACATAGGGCAATCCCTAGTCTCACATTCACTGGTGCTTAAATATTAATATGGTTAATTATAAAAGCCACTGTTCCCATGCAGCTACCTTCTTGTCAGTCTGCATGAAAGAAGCCAGGCTTGCTCAGCATTTAGATGCTGAGAGAAGTAACATGATAGATACCTTTCAAAGGAGCAGCTAGAGAATTATTTCCTCACCGTTTTTTTAGGTTCACACAGCTTTGATAAACCAGCACACAAATGCAACTATTAATTAAGAGGAATTTTATTTTCATTCACATTTTTAAGGTACAGAACATAGTTACAAATGAGGAGCATGGCGTAGTACTGGGATTGGCATGCTATGATGTGTGAACTAAGAGGCTTTTTTTTTTTCAGATAAGCGCTTAAAATCATTTTGTTAACAGGACACAGTAACCTTCAGGCTCAATAAGCAAAGTGTTATCCTTGTTTTCTTTGGTAGACTCGTTTTATAAAACTTTATGGTCAATAATTATTATATAGTAAACTTTATTGATAAAACTTTTTGGAAATAGTTTTTTCTCATTATGTAAATACCTACATATATCCTCAGTTTTATTTTTGGCCCATGATTTCTAGGATATTAGTTATCTGGCCTTCACAGAAAAGTTTGCTGATTCCTGGTTTAATAGAACAATAAGAGGAAGAGAAAGTATTTGACAGATACTGCTGTGTGTGACCTTGGAAGATGCTTCACTTCTCATGGTTATTTTCATTATTGATAAAATGGGGATAATAGGTCATGCATCTGTATGATAAACTCTAAATGAATGCCATAGTTTTCTGGTTTTTATTGAGTATCCAACTTTATTTGAATTGTTATTGTGTACCAAGAACTAGTAAAGGTATTAGGGATACAGCAGGAAATGAAATACCTGTTCTGGGGCTGGGGATTTAGCTCAGTGGCATAAGCACCTGCCTTGCAAGCAGGCGGTCATGAGTTCGATCCCCAGTACCGATTAAAAAAAAAGGAAATACCTGTTCTGGAAAAGAATACTAGTGCAAATGAAAAGAGACTTAAAATGGAACGTGCTCTGAGATTGGATCCTGATTTGAACAAACTGAAGAACATTTTTGAAATTGGAATACGGGTGGGTATTAGAGGAGCTGAAAATTTATGTGACATAGAGAAGTTTGTGTACTGTGGCGCCCTTGTGAAATGTCTCATTGTGGTATAAATGCATACATGTATTATGATATTTTAAAAAATCCAAAAGGATATATAGACTAACCTGTTAATAGTGATGATCTATGTGTGGTGGGAATATGCTTATGTTGACTGTTTTCAAATTTTTGACCATGAGCATATACTACTTTTGTAAAAAAAGAAGAATTATAATTAGAAAATCTCTACTCGTGGATCTTACATGCCAGTGCCTCTTGTAATCATTCATATTATTTTTTTTTTTTTTTCGTTTTTTTTATCGGTACCGGGGATCGAACTCACGACTGCCTGCTTCCAAGGCAGGTGCTTATGCCGCTGAGCTAAACCTCCAGCCCCAATCATTCATATTATTAAATCTGTCACTTTTTTGGAGGAACAGCTGTAAGAATGGAGAGTGATCTGTCCTTCGCCGACCGCTGCAGGTGATGATGTTGCAGGGAGCCCTGGGAAGTAACTGCAGTGTGTGGAGGAGCTTTGCTGCCCATCTCCTTGCAGCGTTGCTGGTAAGGGGAGTTTCCTTATACTGAAGACTTCTAACTGGTGTGGGATCTTGTAGGGTGGTTAGCTGTGAAAAAGAAGGACGTTAGAGGTAATGGTTAACCACATCCATCTAGACACTGCTCAAGAAAGAGAGACCCCTGCCTGAGAACTGTCTGAGCTGATGTTGGAGATACCTGGGTTTGTTGTTGTTGTTTTTGTTGCATGAGTGGACATCAGACTACTAAAACCCAAAGCCATTAAGCATTTGCAACATGTAACTACCCCTCTTATTCTAGGCCAGAGGTGGACCAACTACATATAGCCTGTGGGCCAAATCTAATCTACCACCTATTTTCGTTAATTGTTTTATTGGGACACAGACCCACTTAGCTTGTTTGCATATTTTCTGTCATTGCTTTTGTTCCACAATGACAACATTTAGTAGGTGTGACAGAAATGGTGTAAAACTCACAAAGCCTGTAATATTTATTGTGATCTTTTAAGGAAAATGTTTGTAGACCCTTGTTCTAGGCTCAGCAGAAAGTTCTCAGTAGGCATTGCTATGGGGAAAGGCCACTTATGATTATATTAGCAAATTGATACTTTTATTTATAAACTTCATTCTTTCCTGAGCTGTATTAACATGTGTCAGGATTTGTAATTTAAGATGACTACATTGGCTTTCTTATCCTGGAAAGCTAAAGTGAAGGCTAGACCATGAGAAATCAGAGAAATCAAGGTAAATGCTACCCTGTAAACCTCATCAGTAGATAGCTAGTTGGAGTTACATTCATGTAGCTAAGATGTGCTTATGCTTCCAATTTGGTTCAAGAGTCACCTCCACTGGGAAGTCTTCTCTGACTGTTTACTCTGATTTCACTGCGGGTACCTGTGCTTCCATTACGCCCTTTGCAAACCTCTGTCATACCTTAAAGGTGCTTTATGGTAAATCTTGGGTTCATTCCTTTCTTTCCTCCAGAGACGGCAGGACCGCAGTTGGTATTTTGACTATGACTAATGTATAGCAGCTTACTAGCTTTGTACCATTGGCCATGCCAGTTCTCTGAACCTGAGTTTTCTCATCTGTCAATCAGGGATAGTAAAAAATGTTAGCTACATAATATGGTTTTTTGTTAAGATTCAAACGAGTGTCTTAGTTGTTTTTCTTGTTGCTGGGACAAAATACCAAACATCCAAAGTTAAAGGAGAAAAGGTTTATTTAGTTCAAAGTTTGTAGTGGTTTCAGTTCATAGTTTGCTGGCCCCAAGGCAGGGTGGCATGGCAGAGGAGCAATGCAGAGGAGATACAGTCCATGACAAAGCAGGGCAGGCAAAAAGCAGCAAGCAGCAAACAAGCAAAGTAGCAGCAAGTTACAAGCAACCAGTAATGAATACAGTAGCTCTTTCTGTCCCTTATATTTTATTCAGGCTACCTTTAGTGCAGGTAGCCCTTACACCCTAATCCTAGGACTGGTGAATCAATTCCAGAAGCACAGAATGTAGATCCAGCCATCTCCAGAAAGTCCCACCTAGATTGCATGAAGCTTTGGGGGGGCATCTAGATGCAAGCCTTAACAATGAGATCATATTAGGTATTTGGTAAATACTTGTGGTATGAATGAATAAATTACAAATAGGAAGTTGTTTGAATTCTATTGGGAATTAGGAAAGTCTGCATGAGCAGTGCCTAAAGTAATGTTGGGTAGTTTTCTTTGCTTTATTTAAATCAGTAATACACTTTTTTTTACTTTGCCCACTCAAACTGGAGCATCATTCGTTTATTCTTCTTTTCTTCTATTTGCACTGGGTACTGAACCCAGGGTCACACTCATTCTAAGCACACAATCTACCACCAAGCTACACCCCCAAACCTTCATTTGTGTATTTTATCACCACTTATTATGAGCTGAATGTACATCAGTACTATGCTTAGCATATGTTATAGCAGGATATGTGCAATCTCTGCCTTCATGGGGTTTTTCATTCTAGTGAAAAAAATGGATAAATAAACAAGTACACTGGTGTGCAAGAATGTATTACAGACCCTGATAAATAATAAAATAAATAGGCTCAGTTGGAGTAATTGAAAGCTATTATATAACTAGCAATCAGGGATAGAGTGTCTGAAGAGGTAACTTCTGTGATGAGATTGGAAGAGTCAGTTAACCATGAAAAGAGTTAGGGAAAGAATATTCTAGACAGATTATAATAAGTATAAAGATCCTGAAGTCAGGAAGGATTTGGATGTTCAAAGGATGAAACCAGGGGAAGCTAGGAGGGCAAAGAGGTTAGATTCATTCTAAGAATAGAGGTTAACTATTTAGTGATTTTAAGAGGGAGAGTGAGGTGATCTGTCACTCTATATTTTTTAAAAACACAATTTCTAATTAAAAAATCTGAGTGATAAACAGAATACAGGCCCCCAAAGGTGTCCATGTCCCAGTCTTTAAGAACTTTTGAATATGTTATGTTGTATATCAAAATGGATGTGATTAGGGGCCTCAAAACCTGAAGATTATCTTGGATTATCCATGTGGACGTACTATACAAGGGGGAGGCAGGATGACCAGTGTCAGAGGAAGCAGGTGTGATGCCAGAAGCAGGGGTTGTGGCTAGATAGAGATTTGAGATGCTGTGCGACTCCCTAGAAGGTGGAGGAGGACGCCAGAAGCCAAGAAACACAGGCGCCTTGATCTTGGGCTTCTAGCCCCCAGAACTGTGAGAAATAAGTTTCTGTGGTTTACGCCAGTGTGTATGCAATTTTGTTATGGCAGCCCTAGCTGCCTAATATACTAAATAACTCGGGAAAACAATATTTTGACTATATACTGTAAGATAGTTGTCCTTAAGCTAAAGTGTGTGTCATAGTTGCTTAGAAAGCCCCTTAGAACTCAGAATTTCTCATTCAGTAGGTCTGCATTGGGACCTAATAATTTGCATTTCTAACAAATTAACAAGTGGTGGTGCTGCTGCTGCATTAGGGCCCAAACCTTAGAATTAAAGGCTGCCTATCATAATTCATAGATTTGTTTCCCATAGGGCTATGGGTTAGTAACTGTGAATTTATATGTGTCCTAATATTGTGTAAATAAGTGACTCCATGGTGAATGATTAGACGTATTTTACCTCATCAGAGGAAAAAGTTACATGAGGAAAGAAGGAAGACTAGAATGAGCCTTGCGGTGATCAGAGGTATTGTGTGGACACACTTCTTTACATGTGCACACAGGCATACCACTCTGTTCCACCATCCCATAGAGAGAGCGAAGGAATGGAAATAGATGTATATTATTTCCTGTCTCTCTCTGCAGAGGCCGAGAAGCAGTGATAATTCAGTGCCAATGAATCCACCCAGTACTCAGATCTTGGGTTATTCAAAAATTCATTTATTCATTTTTGGTACTAGGGATTGAACTCTGGACTTTTTTGGACGTTGCATGTGCCAGATCTTGGTATTAAAAATTCCATTATCTGAATAAAAGGAATTGAGGCTCCTTGGAGAAATTATTTATTCGAGGGCTAGGCCAGGGAGAGTATAATATAAGCCTGGAATATCTTCTTTTGTCAGAAAGTAAGAATGCTCATGGATAATGGAGACATGTTAAGAAGACATGGAGTCAAATTTGAAAGGGTCCCTAATGATAATATCTGGGACAATTTAAGCAACAAAATAAATAATGATAGTAATGGGTTATTCCCCAAAGAATAAAACAAGAATCCATGCTAATATAAAGAAATGACTGAATAAAAGAACAGGGAAGACAGGAAGGCACTTTTCACTATAGAATTCTAGTTAATGTAGAAAGAATAATGGAAATAAAAACTTACCATTTGACAGTTACCATGGTAATAATTGTTTCAGGCAAGAATCATCAATGGATGCTAAAATTGATGGACAAAAGCATGAAGGAAATATCTATATAAATTCATAGTATCTGCCCATAAAATGCAAAAAGAGTAACTTTACTCTGGTGACACCTAGCAGACTACCTTAATCGAGTGATCATAGAAAGAAGCATCACTCCTAATGGAACAGAATGACATCATGTGCCTCTTGATACACTGCATTGAGGACACACCATCACATGTCTGTAGTATTCTTTTCAGAACACATAATCTAAACTCAATCATGATGAAATGCCAAATCCCACATTGAAACTAGTCAGTATATTTAAAAATTTTAGGGTAATGAAAAACAATGTGACAAGAAAGACTGAGAACTGTTCTAGTGCCTAAGAGTCAGATAAAAGAGCCTAAGAAGTCAGATGTGACCTTGGACTTACAAAAGAATATTTCTGTGGCAACTAGAGAAAACTGTGCAATCTATAGAGTTGATTATATTTCTTGAAAATTAATTTATCGACATAACACTGTGCTATGGTTTATAGGATGTTAACATTTAGAGAATCTGGATGAAAGATGTATAGGGATTCTCGGGACTATTTTCATAACCTTTTGGGTAAGTCTATAATTACTTCAAAATTAACAATTCAAAACAAAACAATTTAAATTTAACAATTTAAAACAAAACTTTTACCTCCCACTCCAAGAATTCCCGGTGATCTGATTGCTCTGTGTAGTGTGGGCCATGGAAGGGGAAGAGTAGGGAGACCAATCAGGAGGATGTTGTACTGCACCAAGGGACTGATGATGGCAGCTTGACCTAGAAGGGTGATGGCAATGGAGATGAAGAGGGGTAGATGGATACAGAATGCATGTGGACATTTCCATGTGAAGACATTGAAGGCAAAATAGAATGGAAAAAAACTTGTGTGAAAAGTTGTTCTTCCTTCCCTTCCTTTTCCTTCTCGGACTTGTTCTTCTTTTGTCTGGAGCCTAAGGCCCTGTGATGCCAGGCAAGTGCCCTCTCTACACCACCAGTCCTTTTGGTTTTGAGACCCGGTCTCACTAAATTGCCCAGTCTGTCCTCAAACTTGTGAGCCTTCCAGCTCAGCCTCCTGAAGAGGGATTGTAATTTTCTGTATGTTCCCCCCCCCCCCGAGTTTTTAGTCATGTTCTTTTCCAAAGGGAAAAAGTAGTATTCCTTTCCAAAGGGGAAAAAGAAAATGTGTTTTCTTTGGTTTCCTCCTGTGATTACCTCGGCCAAGGAACTTCTTCTTGGTAAACACTCTCTTCTCTTTTTCAGGAGGGGTTTCTATTCTTTCACCTAAATTGTGAACTTTACAAAACCTCCTTGGTCTACTTAGAATTCCACATGGTACACCCTTTTAAATATTAGGTCTTTGCCTAAGATACTGTCTTATTAAAATTTTGTCTTTTAAGGCTCATCTGAAGATCCACCCTTCCCTCAGAAGTCTTGCAGGATCTACTCAAGCTTGAAATAATTACTCTCTTTCCTTGGTAAGTAATACCTCTTAAGCTTTCCCTTTTATTTGGTCCACATACACAGATTTACAGGTGCATTCATTACTTGGTACTGATTTTGTGTTCATGGATTGTATTCTGTACCAGATTATATTTTATTTTTTTAAATTTTATTTAAAAGGAAAAAGAGAAAAAAAAACAAAACAAAACATAGTGGTGTAAGGGTACAAGTAATACAGAACTACAAAAAAAAAAACAGTAAGAAATCACCAGTTAATAGATTACATATTATCGCCTTAGAGATGATTGCTCAAATCACAGTATCAAAGCATACAAAGTGGACATTCAAACAGAGAGACTGCAAACAGGTGTGTTCAGTGATCCAACCAAAAACATTAATATGGTCAGCTATTTAACACCACTAAACACACTTGCTGTCGTATCCTTTAGAGCTCTTTTTTTCCCTCTCTTTTTTACAAAAAAATTTACACATTTTGGGTTTTCTTACTCCTTAGTTCTTATTACTTTTTTGGGGAAGAGAATAAATCAAATATGGCAAAACAATGCTGTCAGTCAAAACCAAGGATAGACATAGCACATGATGTAAAACAGAGTACAAGGTTATCAACTATGTCTCTTGTTTCCTTAAAAAGAATTGTCTATCTCATTAGATATTATAAAGTTGAAGAAAACAGTAGAGAAAAAGACCGATAAAATTTAAGCATTGTAAACATTACAGGACTTCCAAAGGAGACAATAGTCAAACCAGAATGGGCATCTTAGTGAATCTGATTGCCTTTAAAGTAGTTGCCTATACCCTCAAACTTGATACTATCATACAGAATGGAACAGAGTCTAATCAGTCAAAACAAGATAGTGGGAGTATTACAGGACTTCAAAACAAGTTAATAGGAAATCAAAAGAAGTTACTATTATATATCCTGCTAATTTTTTAATTTTTCCCCTTAATTAAAAAATAACAATAATTTTTAAATTAATAAGGGAGAGATTGAGATAAAACAGGACATAACAATATAACAATACAGGTCAAAGCATGACTGCTTCAGAAACCTAGTGCTTCACCACCAAATAACCCGACCCAATAGTAGTTACCATACTGTCTGTCTTTTTCTTTGAAATATTTGAATAAAACTTCATATACTATAGCTTCAAATATTTCCATATCAAGAAGCCCAGAATAAAGCCTTTCCAATTAATAAGTGAAAACTTTATAAGGCTTCAAGGCCACCTAATGGGGAATCATGATTACCACATATTTTTATATATTTGAATCATTACTTACATTAGGGAAACTATTCGGTATTCACACATGCGAGATTGATTTATTTCACTTATGAGTATGGTCTCAAGCTGTGCCCATTTATTGATAAATATCTCAATGTGATCCTTCTTTATAGCTGAATAATACTCCATTGTATAGAAATACCACAACTTTTTTATCCATTCCTCAGTTGATGGACACGTGGGTTGTTTCCAAGATCTGGCGATTACAAATTGTGCTGCTATAAACATAGGTGCACATATATCACTGTGGTATGATACTTTCAGTTCTTCTGGGAATATGCCTAGAAGGGGAATAGCTGGAATAAATGGGACTTCCAATCCCAGCTTTTTGAGAAATCTCCAGACTGACCTCCACAAAGGCTGCACCAGTCTACACTCCCACCAACAGTGTAGGAGAGTTCCTTTTTCCCCACAGCCTCTCCAGCATCTGTTGTTGTTGGTTTTCTTGATCCTGGCCATTCTTTCAGGAGTGAGATGGTATCTCAGTGTGGTTTTAATTTGCATTTCTCTAATGACCAATGATGATGAGCATTTTTTCATGTATTTATTTGCCATTTGCATTTCTTCATCTGAGAAGTGCGTATTCATCTCAGATACCCATTTTTGGATTGGATCCTTGAATTTTGGGGGTCTGAGTTTTTTTAATTATGTATATGTTTTAGACAAGAGTCCCTTGTCTGAGAGAGAGTTCACTAAAATCTTTTCCCACTTTATGGGTTTTCTTTTCACTATGCTGGAGATTTCTTTTGACATGCAGAAACTTTTTAATAAGAAGTGGTCCCAGTTATTGATTCTGGGAAGTATTTCCCGTGCAGTTTGAGTCCTGTTCATGAATTCTCTACCTACACCTATGTCTTCAAGGTTTCTACCCAATTTGTCTTCCAATAGATGTAGTGTTTCTGTTTTAATATTCAGATCTTTGACCCATTTAGATTTTAATTTAGTACATGGTGATAGACATGGGTCTAGCTTTAGTTGTCGGCAAATGGAGAGCCAGTTTTTCCAGCACCATTTATTAGAGAGACTGTCGTTCTTCCAGTGAACCTGCTTGGCTCCTTTATCAAAGATAAGGTGGTTGAGTGTGTTTGTAGTTGTATCTTCTAATCTATTCCATTGATCTTCGGCTCTGTTTTGATTCCAATACCATGTTGATTTTACTACTGTTGCTTTGTAGTGTAATTTCAAGTCAGGGATTGTGATGCCTCCTGCTTTGTCTTTGCTGCTTAGAATTGCCTTTGCTATTCTAGGTCTCTTATGGTTCCAGATGAAATATAGGAGTGATTTCTCTAGATCTATAAGGTATGTTGATGGTATTTTTATTGGGATTGCATTGAATCTGTATAACAGTTTTGGGAGAATGCCCATTTTCACAGTGTTTGTTCTTCCTATCCATGAGCAAGGGATGTCTTTCCGTTTTCTGAGATCATCTTCAGTTTCTTTTTTCAGTGTATTATAATTTTCACTGTATAAGTCTTTCATGTCTTTCATAAGAGTAATTCCTAAATATTTCATTTTTTTGTTTGCTAATGTGAAGAGTGTAGTTTCTCTTATTTCCCTCTCTGTGATTTTGTTGTTCGTGTATAGGAATGCTATTGATTTCTTAGTATTGATTTTGTATCCAGCCACATTACTGAATTCATTTATTGTATCTAAGAGTCTTTCAATGGAGTTTAGGGGGTCTTCTATGTAGAGTATCATGTCATCTGCAAACAATGATAATTTAAGTTCTTCTTTTCCTATCTTTACCACTTTTATTTCTCTCTCTTGCCTAATTGCTCTGGCTAGTACTTCCAGTACTATATTAAATAGGAGAGGTGATAAAGGACATCCTTGTCTTGTGCCTGATTTTAAGGTAAAGGCTTTCAATTTTTGGCCATTTAGTATGATGCTGGCTGTTAGTTTGTGATAAATGGCCTTTATTATATTGAGGTAAAGACCATCTATTCCAATTTTCTGTAAAGTTCTAATCATGAATGAATGTTGGACCTTATCAAAGGCTTTTTCTGCATCTATAGAAATGATCATGTGATTCTTACTTTTGGCTTTATTGATATGGTGGATTACATTTATTGATTTACGTATGTTGAATCATCCTTGCATTCCTGGGATGAATCCCACTTGGTCATGGTGTATAATCTTCTTGATGATTTTCTGCGTCCGATTTGCCAATATTTTATTGAGGATTTTTGCGTCTGTGTTCATTACGGAGATCGGTCTGTAGTTCTCTTTTTTAGTTGGGTCTTTCTCAGGTTTTGGTACTAGAGTAATATTTGCTTCCAGGAATGACTTAGGAAGGATTGCTTCCCTTTCAATTTCATTGAATAGTTTGAGGAGGGTCAGGATTAGGTCTTCTTTGTATTTCTTGTAGAATTCTGCAGTGAATCCATCTGGGCCTGGGCTCTTCTTTGTAGGTAAGGACTTAATTACATTTTCAATTTCATTAACAGAGATTGGGTTATTCAGCAGTTTTACATCCTCTTGATCCAGCTTTGGTACTTCATATGTTTCTAAGAATCTGTCTATTTCTTCTGTGTTATCAAACTTTTGAGAGTAGAGGTTTTCGAAATAGGTGTTGATGATCTTCTGTATTTCTATTGAGTCTGTAGTGATTTCACCTTTTTCATTTCTTATTGCATGATTTTGAGCTTTTTCTTCCCTTTTTTAAATAAGGTTGGCTAGGGGCTTATCGATTTTATTTATTCTTTCAAAGAACCAACTCTTTGATTCGTTGATTCTTTGGATTGTTGTCTTAGTCTCTATTGCATTGATTTCTGCTCTGATTTTTATAATTTCCTCACTTCTTTTGGCTTTGGGCTTGACTTGCTCTTCTTTTTCTAGCTGTCTGAGGTGTAGCATCAAGTTATTTATTTGTATTCGTTCTGTTTTCCTGATGTGGGAACTCAGTGCAATAAATTTTCCTCTGAGGACGGCTTTCATTGTATCCCACAAATTCCGGTAATTTGTATCTGCATTTTCATTTTCTTTTAGGTATTGTTTAATTTCTTCTTTAATTTCTTCTGTGACCCACTGATTACTCAAGAGTGTGTTATTCAGTTTCCATGTGTTTGCGGGATTTTTGCAGTATCTTTTATCATTAATTTCTAATTTCAGAGTGCTATGATTCGATAACATGCAAAGGATGATTTCAACTCTTTTGCATTTGTTTAAATATGTTCTGTGAGCTAATATATTGTCTATTTTAGAGAATGATCCATATGCTGCTGAGAAGAATGTGTATTCTGATGTTGTTGGGTGGAACATTCTGTATATGTCTATCAAATCCATTTGTTCGCAGGTGTGATTCAGTTCTGTTATTTCTTTGCTCATTTTCTGTCTGGTTGATCTGTCCCTTGGTGTCAATGGCATATTAAGGTCTCCTGTTACAATTGTGTTACTGATAATTTGAGTTTTCATTTCTGTTAATAGTTGTTTTATATAACTGGGTGCTCTGGAGTTTGGTGCATATATATTTAAGATAGTTATCTCTTCCTCTTGGAGTTTTCCCCTTACGAGTATGTAGTGACCTTCTTTGTCCTTTATGGTCATTGTTGGTTTAAAGTTCATGTTGTATGCAAATAGAATGGCTACTCCTGCCTTTTTTTTGAATTCCTGCTGCATGAAGTATTGTTTTCCATCTTTTGAATTTCAGTCTGTGAGTATCCTTCTGGGTTAGATGGGTTTCCTGTAAACAGCATATGGTTGGATTTTGTTTCTTGATCCATTCTGCTAGT